ATCTTCATTATGATATTGAAACACACAATGAAATAAAGACATTCCACAAAGATCTGTACAGTGAGTATCAGTTGGATTATATTGCTTACAAAATGAATGCGCTTAGTCGACACAATAAATTCGGACCAAAGATATTGGATTATCACCAACAATAATATTAATAAATAAAATCAATCATTCCATAAGTTATTTTAGCCTGTAGAGTTCTACTATATTTTTTATATCTAAGAAATAGTTATAGGATCATCACCAAATTCGATATTTATATCATCTTCATAATCATATTGATACACAATAAAAATAAACAAATATATAAGGAATTGTAGTCTGTAGAAGAAAATACTGTACAGAGTTATCTTTCCATGGGGTAGTTTATTTTTCATTAGAATCACGAATGATAATGATATGCAGAACATGTCACGTGATCTAATTTAATTTCCGTAATATTCAAGGAACGAAAAGACGATCCGAAGATTACGATCAAGCTTACACGATCCGATGGAGGAGTTCCAAAGATTACGATCCAGCTGATACGATCCAGTGTTCACCACTGGATTCCAAAGATTACAATCCGAGTTCTGCGTTCTACAAAGTCTACGGTCTAAATTATGTTCTAGAAAGACTAACATTGAAAAAAGTAAATAAGATATTCGCAACTTCGATTTTATAAGATTAGTCATTTCTACCTAAGAAATGACCACGTGACTTTAAGAATTTTTATAATCTGATTTGAATCCTATTTTGAACCAGGTATAGCGCCATACTTCCCACGTTTTGCCAATATATTGTTTGGATTTTGAGTTTCGTTTTGCGGTTCGGATCGTTATGTTCTCTCCTTGGCTCAAGACCGAATAGAGGGAGAGAGAGAGACATATGAGCGACACAACTGACGCATTCAGACAAGGCCCTCGAGACAACCCATTTACACTGGCTTGGTCATCGGTAAACGTAAAGAAAACGCTAGTGTAAACTTTACTTTACATGTCGCACCTGCAACATACGAACATATTGTGTTCCCTAGGCGCGCTTCTAATATCTATTGGAGTGAAGCCATTCAGAAAAGTCTCTTGACGGAAGACAACATAAATCATACCAGAGTCTTAGAAATATCAGTTGCCACAGCTGTCAAAGACACTTTGGAAATGCGAGGGTCTAAGGAAGAAAAGTGTTAACATACTTAATAAATTTTATAAAGATAGCTTGCGTTGCAAGGTAACATACGCCCACTGGAAGCTGTCAGAAATAATAAAACAGTCTTTAGTGACTAAAGTACGAATTTTCTCATATTGAAGAAATTATTTATGCTGAATAATTCCACAAAATTTTTAAAAATCAATATCAATAACCCAAATACAACAAACAATTAAATCACACAGCTCTAATCAAGGGCAAAAACAACTTTTGACGCGTGTTTACAAAGTCAAGGGCAATAACTCAAAAAATGTTCATCATAAATATCTCTTGTTAGAATTTGTCCGAGATCTTATCAATTCCAATGATCACACCAACGATTCGCCCCTTCGTACGCAAGGCACTTTTTTACGGACGCTTTTTGGATGACATTTTTATGGTTTGGACTTATTCTATCGAACAGTTTTGGGAATTCTTTGAAATTCTCAACAACCACCATCCTTCTATCAAACTAACCGCAAACGTGAGTGACAAAAGCATAGACTTTCTCGATACCACAGTCTTTAAGGGAGATTCCATAGCAGAAACAAATAAACTGGATATTAAAGTGTATTTCAAAGAAACTGATACTCATCAACTCTTGCACAAGAGCTCCTTTCACCCAAAACATACCTTTTCTGGTATAATTAAGTCACAAGTTTTACGATTTCATCGAATTTGTACAAGATCTTCTGATTTCAACCAAGCCTGTACGATTGTTTTCTCAAAACTGAAAGAACGTGGGTACTCTAAACGATTTTTACGAAACATAAAACATTCCACCTTAGCACAGATAGCAGCTAAAACAGACTTTATGACGAAGTACCTCCAGGTTTAAGAAGTGCTCCATGTTTGTCCAGTAGATGCAAAACATGTCCCTTTATATCAGAAACTCATAATTTTGTAAAAAAAACTCTACGAATAAAAGGTACCCGATCCAGGAACATCTAACATGTGAACATTCGAATGTAATATATTTAATTTCATGCAAGAAATGCCCCAAACAATATGTAGGAGAAACTAAGAATAATTTACGAACTCGCTTTAATGCTCATAGGTCAGACATCAATTAAAGAAAGACAAGCCTGTTTCTAATCATTTCAACCTCGACGACCATTCAATAGACGATCTCACCCTAATCCCAATTGAGCGTATAGAAATTGACTTGCCCGAAGATGAAACTACCAAATTCCGTCAATCTAGGGAGGCCCATTGGATTGAGACATTGAATACAGCAAGACCTATAGGACTAAATGTTCATCATAATGTAGGCATAGCACCCTTTGTTGTCCCGTTTAATACAACCAACAATCGAGCAAGCAAGATAGTTCATGCCCACTATAAGAGCCTTCAAGAGAAATTCCCCCATGTCTATAAGCAGAAAATGATAGTTGCATATTCAAAAAATAAGAACTTAAATGATAATATTGTTCATAGTAAACTAAAAACAATCAGTACATAACAGATACTAATTTCAGATCAGAATAAGAACAGAAGAAAACCCAATATCAAGACCCTTAATCCTAATTTCTAAATAAAGTGTCTGCTCCACCCTAGGCCTGTACATTTGGGAGAATCAAACCCTCCCTTCCCCGAAATCAAAAATATTTCATCGAAAATGCGTCAAGTTAGAACCTGTCCGAGATCTTATCAATTCCAATGATCACAACAAGTTTCATCAGAATCGGTTGAAAACTGTAGCGTCAGTCCTGCTCACGAGCTATTTTTAACAAATTTTGACGCGTATTTACAAAGTCAAGGGCAATTACTCAAAAACCGTTCATTGAAAATGCGTCAAATTAGAACTTGTCCGAGATCTTATCAATTCCAATGATCACACCAAGTTTCATCAGAATCGGTTGAAAACTGTAGCTTCAATCCTGCTCACGAACTATTTTTAACAAATTTCAACACGTTTTAACAAAGTCAAGGGCAATAACTCAAAAACCGTTCATCAGAAATGCGTTAAGTTAGAACTTGTCCGAGATCTTATCAATTCCAATGATTACACCAAGTTTCATCAGAATCGGTTGAAAACTGTAGTTTCAATCCTGTTCACGAACTATTTTTAACAAATTTCAACACGTTTTAACAAAGTCAAGGGCAATAACTCAAAAACCGTTCATCGAAAATG